ATACCTTAATCCTTGCGAGTAAATGTAGGCTTCTCGTTACTTAATCGGCGCTACAATCGCACTGTACTACATTCAATTTTTACATGTTAATTTTAACTGTTCAACATTGTAACATTAGACTCTTTACAGAAATATGTAAGCTTGAATTCTTCAACGTTTCGATTTCACGTGTTTCGGCGTATAACTCCAGCAAAGTCGCCGCCGCCGCCGTCGCCGCCGCCGCCGTCGCCGTCGTCGCACAGGCATGTGTATAGGCGCATGTACACAAAGGGAAGGCTTAATGCCAGAAAACATATTAAGGTAAGCCGATCCACTTTCAGGAACCATTGATAATAACACGTTGAATCCTCATCCGCAGGATATAAGCGAGAGCGAAAGGGGAAAGGAAAAACGAGGAATTCTACACGAGCCATGCACCTTACTCTGTTTTTAACTGCTTCGACTAGCGTGTCAACCCATTGAGGAGCGTTGAAACAGGTACCGAGGAGGGATAAAGAGGCGAAAAAGGGTTAGAGTTGGTAGGTCGGCCATCGACGGTGCCGAGGATGGATGAAAGGAGGGTTCGTGAGCAGGTATTTTTCGTCGAACCCCGACAGCGAGGCGAGAGACCCCAAGGGTTAAGTGTCGTCATAATTGCTAATAATATCCTCATTGTGCCGGATAGGAGAACAGAACTTCGACTCTTTTTCGATATTCTCGGCCCAATAACTTGTGCCTATTCGATACGCTGTTTACTTTTTGCGCATAAAGCCGTAGAACATCAACCGTAGTAGTCGAGCTAATTATCCAGTTCAGAATAATTAGGCATAATTAACAGTTTGGCCATGATGTAGCACAGTCCCTTACGATGCTTACTTCCCTGCGAAATAATAATAATGATGTATATAATCTATCTATAACATCATTAGCTGCCTCGGTGTATAATGCCGAAGTTTAAGAGTCGATGGAGCGATTACTTAATTTTATATGCCACAAAAATTATGCCATCATTCGTGAAATTGTCGGCATCGATATCCAATTGTCGGTCAATGGATAAACTCTCGATTTCTTTCTCTCTGCCGTTAAAATGTCGTTGGCCTAACTTTATATTCGAGCGAGGGAGCCGCGAAGGGGAGATTCATTTCGACGAATACACGAGATCATCGATTGTACACAAAAGCGCGTTTGTAGAAAGTTTTTTGCCATTTGCTTTTGTCATTGGTAAAAACGCGCGGTAACCTAGAAAAATAAGCATCCGCCTCTAGTGTGCACCATAATATTGGCGCGCACCATAAAGTATTTGTATATTACAAAGGCAAGTGTCAAAATCGTATAGCAGGAGTCGCGAAGGTTATTTGGCATTATCGTAAGAGTCGCCTTTCAAAACAAAGGCACAAGAAAAATAAATGAAGCGGTCGGCGGGTGAAGCGTGTCTTGCAACAGCCGCCGACATCCGCGGCATGACGGGGAGGGAGATTGACGGCCGCGGGGCTTGTGGTGGCAGGGGGGTGGGGCGGGGTGGGATCAACAATGGCCGCAGCCGCGAAACAAACAAGAATGCCGGAGGAAAACAAAAATTCAAGCCCGCGCTTCTTTTTTGCCCCGCCGTAAGACTTGCGTTTTTTTTCTTCTTTTTTTTTTTTCTAAAGCGCGTTTTCCTCCTGCTCTTGCGGCCACGCGCACAGCACACGCACCGGCAGGTGAGGCCTCGGCTTTTCCCCAGGAATCGGGAAACCGCTTTTTTCCTTCCGGACGCCCAAAGCGATGGGGTTTTCCCGTGCGAGCGCGCGCACGGGGGAGGCGAAAATTGCGTCAATCACACGGGTTTCCCCTCGGAGATATAAATAGTAACTACCACAAAAATACCCAAGATGGATGTGCAGCTCGATCGACACCTTACATTACCGACATTTGGCCAAGTACCGATGCTTTGCAAGAGAATTATTGGTTCTTCCTTTGGCTCCTTGTTTATAGAGTGGATAACGAGTGTCTTGAAAAATCATGTATTCCCCCCGTGTTTTTATTTTAATATAATATTTAAGGGGGAGGGGATGAAGTATTACGTTGCCTAGCTATTAGCATTATTTACACAAACTCGAAATGTAAGCAACTACAAAGGAAGTTAACAAACGGTAAATGAACAAAAGCAAACGCGATCCTCGCACGTGTATCGTCTCGCGCAATTGTCACGTAAGAAATTCGATCGTTCACGTTTTAACGCCGTATCAACTGTAAGGACGTCCGCGTTTTTCGTATATTTTTGATACGATATAGTGGCTTGTTATAACGTCGTCTTACAAGAAGCGGCGCCGGTTCATATTCATTATAATATCGATTAGTCTGTAGCGTCGAATGAATATTGTAGCTTTACACGGGCACGCGGAATACCCATCGGTAGCAAAAAAAAAAAAAAAAAAAAGAAAGAGAGAGAGAGAGAAAGAATAAGAAACGGAGAGAAATAGCAAGATACGGTATAATGATTTTGTCGGCCTAGAGGAGATGATATAATAACAAGACATTCAAACATTCACATAAACATCCCACAAACATCCCAGCTCGCAAACATATGCACGCGCGCACACAGCCAGGCAGAGAAAGAGAGAGTGAGAGAGCCGCGCAAACGCACACTTACACAAAACAACAATGGTTTATTATGAATTGCACCGGGTGCGTCGTAAAAAAGACATTTATTTATATAAGCGTCTAATGATAACTGAAATGACGAATTAATGAAATGTGAATATTTTATATTTAATTGAAAGGCTAATGGTTTTACAAGATCGTTATGAATTAATAAATGGAAATGATTAATTATATTAATATAGAATTTTCAATCACGCGCATTTTGATAAGACAGAATATTTCTAGACATTTATAGATAAAATAAAAAATGACAAAAAGGGTAATATTTTGACAATATTTCCTATTTATTAATAGAATGCTTAATTTTACTAATATAGTAGTATAAATAGAGAGAATATTGTATTTGAATCGTAATAATAATTTAATAAACATTTAATGATGTATATGTAACGCTTTCATGGCATTTTTTATTTTTTTAGAATCACAGTACAGTTTGAAATACAAATTGCGAAAGATTCATTAACGTATAAACATTCTTTGCGTTGAAATATAACATGGACCAGTTAATTAAGAGTTATTGTTGTTACTTTCATATATTCAAAAACATTGAAAAACCATTAAACTTTTCGAAGATAATTTTAATTTCTCTCTCTCTCTCTCTCTCTCTCTCTCTCTCTCTCTAAGACAAGAAGTGCTTATATCAGTAATTAATCAATTACTACATTACTACATTTCGTTGGATCGTCATATCTCTCTTAGCCTAAATTATTTTCTGCATAGATGATGTAATTGACGCTTCATGGATTGTTTATTTAAAGGATCGAATTTTATTACGAAGGTTATCGGCGAATCTGACATCAGTAGATGAGAAAAATTTTTTTTTGTCAAAATACATGTACAATAATTACTAACAATCGAAATATTAATATTTTATATATTATATATATTTTATATATTATAATGTGAAAGTTAAAAAAAAAAATGGGTCCCTTCTACCATCCCCACCCAACCATTGTAATAACAAATTAGAAGTCATTGTTAAATATCGGTTACTCATATTTATAATACCTATACCATGATATAATTAATTGTTGCAAAATATCTAGAATTACTTTACTTTCATATAATTATAGATGATGTATGTATAATCTCACATTTTATTAAGTTTCTGAATATGTAAATCCATCCCAGATAGGATTACCAATATTTTATTACTATGAGCTCATTAGTTATAAATTCCTTATAAAAGATATTGTGGCAATAATTTGTTTGCCACGAAAAAAGTATTCTAATTTTCGTTTAAATAATTGCGCCTTCGTTAAGAAGAATGCGACATCAATAATCCACAAATAAGCCTTAAAAAAAATTATTATTAATTTTCCAATCGTCATTTGCCAATCATTCGAAATAGTCTCAATCCAAAGTTCCACTCTCACTCTTTTGCGTAGGTATTAGTGTCGGGGCGAAAATACGGTACAATCCGTAAGATCCACGGCTCCCTGACTCAGCCAGCTCGGGCCAATCGCCGAGCGTTTTAACCCAAATAAGAAAGGAGCCCCTGAAAAGGCGAAAAAGCAGGAAAGAGAGAAGGAGTATCATCCCGTCCGAAGGGACAGAGCGAGGAAGTTCCCGAAAAATGCGAAAAGAGCGAAGAGCAGCACCGTCCACCCTCCGGAGCTCGAACTACCCCCACCCTCGGGTGCTCCTCGGCTTCCCCCTTTGGCCGATCGGAGCACGCAACTCTCGCTCTCGTTGCTCCCGTCTGGGCTTGTCCGTCCCCCCCCCCCCTCCCCGCCGCGCCGGCACTTTCTCCGGCTCCTAAGGGGGTTGCGTTGCGCGGGACTTCGCCCCTTACGGAGGGGGAAGCTCTAGCTCGGTGGGGGGAGATTGTTTGAGTACAGTCGCGGCAAGCCGCCGGTGTCAGTCAGTGTTGGGTTAGGTCAGCCCGGGGGAAGTACACGGAGCACTTTCCTTGTCCTCGGGGCAGTCGTGCGACGGATCGTGACGCGCCAGCAACATCCTCTCGTGCTCACACACGCACGCAGCTCTCGCTCTTTTTTTTTTCTTTTCCGTTTATTTTTCCGTTCTGTTTTGTTTCTTTGCTGCTGCTGTTGCTTGCCTGCCTGCCTGCCTGCCTGCCTGCCTGCCTGCCTGCCTGCCTGCCTGCCTGCCTGCCTGCCTGCCTGCCTGCCTGCCTACCTACCTACCACCCTCCCCCATACGGACGGACGTTCCTCGGTTATTGCAATAACCATAGAGTTCCTAAAATTAGGTGCGCGGTTTTACCAAGCCGACGGTCCAAGGATCGTCGCTAGTGATAACGCGAAGTAAGTGAGGAGAGATAGTAGATACACGA